TACAATCAAAGACACATTCTTTGGTTAAACATCTGATATGTGTAAAGGCTATTGGAAAAATTAATTTGTTCCTCCAAATCCTTGAAAATCATTTGGCCTAAGGTTTTACAAATAATTGTCCACAGCGCGCGCACGCACACACACACACACACACACACACACACACACACACGTCGCTATATAATAGCTATACTCTTCTTGAACGTGACGTAAAACACCATTTCATCATTTAATCTGTGTTAAACTCGTACTTGATAACAAACACGTTCAGAAGCACGTTGCATCACATCTGTACCAAATATCCTACACTACAGTTTGCTTGTTGTTTAAGCCCACAGTCAGCAATATGTCAGCTACATGAAGGTGGCCTGCATATATATAATTGAGTCTGGACCAGGCAATTCAATGATTGGCATCATGAACATCGTCCTACGCAATTGGGATACGATGACGTACATCAACCAAGTCTGTGAGTCTGACCACCTCATCCCTTTAATCGCCTCCTACGACAGGTATGGGGTGTTGAAGACCACACGAACATCACCTGTGATCAACCCCATGTTAAGATTAACCACATACAACTGCTTGACCCCCGGAGTAATGGGGGTGAACAAGTTACCGATGCGGACAAAAAGTTTCCCTTTTCTAATCCAAAGAACACAACCTTGGGAATGTGTTGTGTTTGCTCGCTGTTATCATTTGGTTTGAATCAAGAGTAATAAATCACTTCTGGTAGAGAAAACATACGAACAATTGAACTCAAATGCTACGTACCTTATCTGCAAGAAACCTTTTTCATTTTGAGTAAATATATTTGCCTAGATTGTTCTATCATGATAGCTTCAAATGTATTTGTTGAGAGACTGAGTACACAGTCTTCAGCTGAAGCATTGATCTCTAACAGAATCGCCATAATACTATTATGTGATGTATTACATACTTTAAATATTGTGCCTGAGTCGTTGTGTCGAATACGGTTTGTACCAGAAACAAAATTCCAACATCTTTCTCGGAACTTCGGTAACCTTTAAAATACCTTAGATCTACTTAATGAAATAATGGAACAGTCAGAGAAACGAAACCTTTCCTGTCAATAAAGAAGTATTGATAACTGTTGGTACGCGTGCAGTCTGGACATTAGACAACGGTGTTCCACATTACAGTGACCTGTAGCGTCATGGCTAATGATGATAGTGTATATATACGCGAGTACATGTACAGACATACATGTATCTACACCACCGTTGGTATTGCCGATGGTATAACGCCGTGCCAATGGAGGTGTGGCGCTGCGTAAAGTAGACACGACAAAAGTCAACAATCTCCCGCAATAGAAAATACGTGATTATGTAATTCCCAGAAGGAGTATGTGTTTGTTTGATATTAAAATAGAATCTTTAGTGTAGTCTGTACCATTCTTCAAACCTAATAAATCAAACACTATGTGTGCATGTTTCAGATAATTTGCATTTTGACGCTGACGGTTTCGGTTCGGTTTAACTCTAATTCAGTTCCTGAAATCAATGTATTATTTACGCAAATGTCATGCTTTGATGCGGCGATGAACAGATTGACTAGCAATTACCGTCGTCCTTTCGGGCATACACAAACATTTACAACGCATCTGATCAATTATTTACATTATTCGTCCAGAACCACAAACACCCGACTAATAAGCTAGTCTATTCACACACATCAGATAATAGATATGTTACACATGGCAAGCTCCGCGCTGCATCATCCTCCATGTTTGTTTTGCCTGCTTCGAATTTTTCGCAGTGACGTGCAAGGGAGTGCCCTTTGGGACTTAACTCACAAATCAATGAATTTATCCAGGCGATGATACGTAATTTTAAACCGATGGTCTGTAATTTGATTTGGGAGTCTCAGCTGTATATGGCGTCTGCTGTATTTTATGGACATTTATCAAATTGAACAAATATACTCTAGTGTATATTCATTCAAATAATATTTGTGACAAACATTGTCATGTCATCATTCTACAGAAACAAGTATCGAATGTATATATTCATAATTATTTAAATATACAATAAACTACAAGTTGATGTCAACAATAGTTCCTTTTTAACTGGCGCTTGTAAATTCCTTTTCGTCGTCACAACTCAATTTGTTTTTACATAATATGAATAGACATGGCACACGGCATAATACGTTTGGGAACATTTCTTTCCATTACCATCAAGTGAGGTCCTCACCAGACAATAACAATTGCAAACCGGGAACATTTCTTTCCATTACCATCAAGTGAGGTCCTCACCAGACAATAACAATTGCACCTCCGGGTCATCCATGTGGGAATAACGAAGTAGTGGTCTAAAGTAACCCATATATTTGCCGGACCAGAGCAAAACGGGGATTGGGTGCCAACAATGTGTTACCTGGCTGCTTATATTGCAGTGTACCCCGACGACGATCAGCCTCTGGTTTGTCTAGATCTGGTTCAGGTGATGCGTTGAACTTTGCGTTCAAGATCATTACGCTTATATAGCGACTAGCATACACGTGTACTTGCTGCTTACAACGCGTGTTGCTGCTTGTACTAGTCCGGACTAATGCCGATCTGCCAGTGCTAGCCCACTGAGATATCATGCCGCCTTGTAACATGAATTCTCCATTCAGACACACTATACTGACTCCGAGCCGACCAGTCCTTGTTTGGGGCCCTTAATGCCGAGCGCCAAACTCGCTCAGGATACGCTCACCTTTTTCGCAAACTCCTGGTATCACCACTATTAATTTTTATACTGATTCATAAAAGTCATAAACACCTGTCAAGCTCAATATATAATCGGTATCGTTCAATGGACTCTAGTTTGAGGAGGGATTTCTTACGATTGAGGAAATGGTTTTGCCGCTTTTATTTACCAGATAGTTGAAACTCATAAAATAGTACATGGTGGCCATCAATGATAAATCATTAACATTGGACATTACAGCTGGTTGTTATGTTGTAATAGTTGCATTAAATACCGTATCACATTATACACACGTGATATAACATTAATATAAGTATAAAGAAAATGAAAATACAGAAACATCTTTGGTAGATTCTAATACCACCGTCTATTTAACTTCAGTGCGCAATTCCAACCAATCATTGCAATAATTTATCATATGATACGCAGACACTACATTACTGTCTTGTCTGACCAGATATACAGACATCCAAATTTGATTGCGTTAAAGTTGTTAACTCCTCTGAAATAGATAAGCCAGACACAACCAGATCATTGTGGGAGATAGACCTCTCCGATAAATATTTTCTCATAATGTTTGGTCACATCAGCTCTGGTGCTTTATCCGTTCATTCTTCAGTTAGTCTACGAAATTGAATGGCGAGACTCACTGTTAAACCAGTAAATATCACCTGTAACGTCATTCGCTGTCTTGGGTTTCATTGTAAACTGTTCCTGATTATTTCTATCGTATTTCGAACAATAACGCAGAATGTATAATTTTACAATCGTGGTGTCGGATATATAGTCTGAATTGTAATGGAAAGAGCATTCAAATGCTAAGATAAAGCTTCAGTCATAGACATCAGCTGGTGTGTCTCTATAGGTAAGATAAGTTGGCCAAATCGTCTAAGGCGCCACAATTCGCCCCTTGGGCACGCCAGACTCATGACTGTGGGTTCGAATCCCGGTTCGCCCCGATTATAGTTCTAGGTTTGTCAGCACCAAGGAAATAAACGCCAGATACCTGTATATCTTCGGGACTTCCTCCAACATTAAGCAAACACGAAGTGCAATAGCTGGAATATTGTTCAAAGCGGTGTTAAAGCAAACTCACTCATTCACCAGTGGCCAAATAAATTGTACAATTGACTCTGCTTTCAGCAGATATGTCTTATGATTATGAAAAGGGTTTGATCGTTTATATTTAAAATGAGGTGGTGTGCTAAGTTGAGAGGACCGTATTGTTCAATAACATTGGTATGTTTTAGGAAAGAATAATAGGTATGTGTTTGATCCACGTAAAACGTGATAGGCATATGCCAATACATACCGCATATATCAAACACTACAAGTGTGTGTTTCAATATCTGGTCAATATATTTCACGAAGCAGCACGCCCATGATGAAAGCATCATAGTCTATTCCTGCAAGTAATTTACTCCCTCTGCGAGACACATCTGACCTCGAGGATTAAAAGTCTTTTTTTATCGTGTCATCGATCTCCGTCAAAAGATGATGAAATACGAATTATAACATGTTCCATCCGAAAACGGATTAGATTGAGCCAAATTAAATTCTTTGTACACCATAGGAAATTGGCATTTCTCCTTCGTCAATATCATGCCATTGATCCCATGGTACAAATGCATGTCGTTTGCACGTCGTTTGATTTAAAGTGTTAAATTAGTTAACGAAGCTATTGAAAACACCACCTTTCATCACTTTCATTATTACTGAGAGGTATTGATCCCCATCGTCAGTTGGATCCTGTTACGTGATTGCCACTTAGATTTCTTTCCTCATAGGCAAATCGAGAGTTCATCGTTATTTCGTTCATACATTTGTTTTAAATAGATTAAGGGATTTCTTTTCCAACTACGCTTCCAATAACATAACTAATACTGCATGTAATGGTGAATGATGATATTACATACTTGTAGATCAGTCCAAGTGTCTAAAAGCGAACAGATATATTGGCAATTACTACGACGTATGTTCATATGGTGTAGTGCCATTTCTGTATGTTTTTGTGACTCACGTGTTCACATAAACATGTACATGATTGAGTTGTCTGAGCCACCTACGTAGAAGTAAAAACAAGGATATTCGAAGTAAATCATTTATCAGCATATCTACGCTGTACATAGATAGTATAAATAGTTCCTCCGCAGACTTTACAGGAAACATTATTTGAATTGATATAATTGAATGTGTTCAAATGGACCCCCACCGCAGTGTCGGAATTGATTTTCCAAATGTTTACGTAGATAGATATATTGAAATATTACTATGAAGACTTACCTTACAGATGACTGGAATGGAGATGAAGCTAACAGTCCGTCATCTTTGCGTCATCACGGCTCAATGTTCGGTAAGCTGGCTGATCGACATTCCAGCCTATTTGAAGTCAGTTGTGGCCAACGAAACTCGGTTTAGCCTTTCAGTGTAGTTTGTTCACCATCGCTCAATAACTTCCGCGTGTTGTATTTCATATAGCTGGCTCCAGCCAATCACACGTCTCAGAGGGAGTAGTTGGTTTCAGTATGACAGAACTGTCCGAGCACTGTCAACATTACACTGGTAGATATAGTGCCAGTCTAAGGCACCGACACAAGTTATTACGCTGTTGGCAGGCAACTGTGGCTCTCGTGAAGGCACACAATGTTTTTGTGTGTTCATGGTGTGTTAGAATGACCGGTTGCCTTAAACTGGAACAATGAGATTGAGTAATATATATGATCATGACGTGCTTCTAAGCGGGCAATATCTTGAAATGGACATAAAATAATATATATGAGCACAGTCAGGATATCCTGCGAAATTACATATAGAATATTCAGTGGCATGCTTGATACCTCAGTGTATCGCCTTGTCATATTTATTAACTTTTATCAACGGTTATGACATGTACGTAGAAGCTGTCATACATAATACAAATATAAAAAGAAAAGTTTAACTGCTGTCATCAAGAAAACCTACAACCTTATTGATAGCAACTGCTTGTTTATTACATATAGTGACGTTTCAGTGTAGATTTTTACACCGTTGTAACGGTGTAAGAATCTGCAACGTAACGTCGCAATATGCAATAAACCAGGATTTGTTATCCATAAAGTTGCACCTTTTCTTATTTCCTCCCCAACTTCTGGAATGCCAATCAAACAGTTATTGTGTTGTCAAACAGTTCGACTTTTTACGATCTATATATCATTGCTTTGTTCCTTCCAAATTGAATCACATCATGATCCGAACGGACCTAGTTTATTTTGTTCGCCTCGAGAAACCAATACGTAAATTCATAAAGAGGTTTAAGAAGTAGTTTTCGGAAACACAAACACTTGCTACGCGGGTTCTTTTTGTTAACGCAATACCGTATTTGACATTAACTTGTCTCGTAGATGAGACTTTCGAAGGAAACAATATTGATTGGTCTTGTCCACCACAATATGATCTTAATATCTTCCTCTAGAAAATACCAGACGATATGATTTAAACAACATCGCTCCTTTTCTTTCCAATTTACAAATGGTTTCAAATCACGTCAAACTGTCACTGTGTATTACTTTGGATATCATGTACTCGACACTTATGTTCCAAGGCGCAATTACACATGTTTATTTCTTTCTTACAGGCCATGTTTATGACAAATATGATACTAAAATGGCTCACAGTTGGACAAATGCCCATGTTAAAGCAGTTTGCTTTGAAAGTTGAATGCATGCCAAATTGTTAACTTCCTTTGGCTTATAGTGACGTTTTAGTTCGGCGATATTGGAAATAAATAATATAAGTGTGTACTTTAGCTTTCTGCATTTAGAAAGGTGATATTCAGATAATTAGATACACACATGTGTTGCATTACCACTGCATACATTTACTTGTACTCAGCGATATGTTATTACTGCTATTTATATCAAAGTCCATTAACGGACTTGAGTTGATCAATTTGATCTATTCCATAAAAAGAAATTGCTCGTTCGACCGGAGATATCGCGTGACACTCAGGTTTGAGTTAATTGTAGTGGTAGAATAGATTGCTATCTTAACATCTTCTCATATCAAAACTTTATGGTCATAGTTAAATATTAGCTTTAGCTTCGAATCCCAAATTCCTCTTGGGTTTGTCAGCATAATACCCGAAGTAAAGGCCCAAGACGTCCATCTCTTTAGGCTTTTCTGCCTAATCAAGCTGACGCAACGATCTAACTGAACTACTGTTCAATTCAGAATCACTCACTTACTGGAGAGCATGCATCCAAATACCCAAACATACCAGTAAAGCTTAGGTTACAATCATAACAGGAGGAATCCCAACCACAACTTCTCTTAAATCGCTGTCCTAAAATAGTCATGAACTCAATCAAGACAACAATCCGTCTTGCTGGGATGGCCTTACAAGATTGAGTAAAGCGTTTGCTCGCCGTCGTCGTACCGACCAAATGAGTGGATCAAGCTACTGCTGGAGAATGTTCTGACATTCTACCTTTAAGATTAACAACAATCGTGGACTGAACATGTCTCCCCGAGATGCCAAAGCATGTTCAATTGTCCGGTCCATATGTGTCATTACACTTGCTCGATGTGGTCTGGCGTAGTTATTCGAGGCGAGGAAGACGTGTTAAGCCTGAAAGCCACCCCACATCATCCACCTCCAAAACGATCATGTTGTACAATGGCATGATTTTGGTTTGTATTGTTCCAGATACTTGCCCTGCTATTCTTGAAGTCTAGAAATACCTTGAAGAGCACATGGCACCATTGGTTGATCCTCCAGTTAGAATATTGATTTGCCCAAAGCGTACTTTTGACAGCGAAGGCGTACAGACATGTGGATGCGTTGTACCGCCTTTCGGGACCACCGACCTTCTTCTATTTCGAATTGTCCGTGTAGAATTTGTTACTCTTTGAAGATTATGTTTGGGACATCTTGCCGTGGTGGACCTTTTCTCCAGGCGAGAAGTTTTAATCCTCTTTCGGAGTCTATGTGTCATAACACTTGAAATGACGCTTCGGGAAATTTAGAAATTGCCACGGTCGAAACATGCCCCGAGTCTTGCTGACATCATTGACACTCTATTGTCTGTATTTTAACACGTGATTCATCGTGTTTAGAGTTGTGCCTTGATTACTTCCTCAATATTTTTGTTTCGAGGATTATTCATTTTCAGATGTATACCCCAACGTGCTATCCTTATGTATGCAGTTGTTTATACATCGCCACAGTGTAATCATAAACTTCACCGTTACTATGTATAGTGTGACGTTGTCAAACTTAATGTCTGAGGGGAGAGGTCGTTCGAAGGAATATCCATTCATAACAGGTCGATGTTTTACGTACATAAGAAGTCGTAGATAGAGAAGGGTGCTTCTGAAATCACACTCATATTTGATGTCCGTTTTAAAAGTAATTCATCAAATAATCAATAATCACGTCGATTTGTAACGTATTTACATTCTGATGTTATGTTTTGAAAATAAACTCGCGACCTGCGAGTGACGGTTTGATGGAGCAAATATTTGACATGCATTAGTCATTACCTGACTCAGAATTCTGAATCCGTTAATGATTAAGTCAAATTCATCAATTTATAATCACGACGGAATCTATATTCGCATCTAAAAGGGACTGGACTTTGATTGCATTGTGCCAAGACATGTAAAGTCAGAATAGGTGTACATTGTACATCCACATGAAATTAAATCTGCAATGCAGAAAAATGTAATATACCCTTGCGTGGCTAGCCAAAGATTACGTATTGTCCCCTGATGGGAGACAGCAATCTATCTTTCTGTAATAGTAATCCCCGTCTTTGGAACTATCGCTATAGGCCATGAAGACACCGCACAACACTACTACTTAAAGCCGTTGTGGGATTCACAGACGAATTAATTCCGCAGGATTTTAGTCAGATATGTTTCTGATTTCGACTTGGCTCTGTCTTTTAACTATGGCTAGACGCAGGGACTATCTGTACTCCTTTATTTAATTAATGAGCTGAATTTGATATAGTCCAGAGCGTTTTCAATATGAATAGTCACCAGCGCTAGATGTATGGCAACATGTTTGTATAGATACTGGCCTTTTTATCTCGTAGAAAACCTGCTTAAAGCTATAATGTAATTAGATTTTTTTCCATTCAGCGGCATGTCTTAAGAACAACACAGATCAGTTTACTCCCTCAAGTACACGTTCGTGTATAGGAAATACATGAACAAGTATTCTGAAAAGAAATCCGTGTATACTGGAGGCGACCTTTAAATCACCCGACAACAAGACATTTCAGTGATTGATATTATGAGCCACGCCGTTGGGTATAAAGACACACTATCAACCATGTCACCTCGACCGATAACCCGACCCATTAGTCGCATCTAATGATCAGCATGGGTTGCGGGACCTATATATTCTAACCTGGAATCCCCACGGGGAGTATCTAAGCGCTTTATACCTGCAAATCAGCCTACGCGTATTACAGGGATAAATTACACATACTATTTTCAAAATTTAAATGTGTTTTTTAAATCTACAAGAATCCTTCTCCTATTTGACTCAACCAAATGTCAGTGAGATGTAATGCTTTTTGCTTATTGAATCAACAGAGCAGAAGAATACCGGGATGCTCCATGTTATCTGTCTGATAAGGTAATGTCTCTTGTTGTCAGGCTTCGCTACAACATCGATCATGACCCTCTTGTCCTCGTGGAATAGCCAGGACGCGTGAGAGGAAAAGGGGCAAGGCTCAATATAGCACAATTTCCTTTACTCTACCGCTCAATTGATTCGTTAAGTCGCATGTGATGCCGTGTCCCTCTTAAATCGAACTGTGAAAGGCCTCGGCATGACATGAGAATACCTGACTTCTAGGTTTGAAGAGGCATATTACCCTTACTCATTGGACCAATAATCTTAAATTAGGCCAACTTCTTTCTTAGTATAGCCTTTTTTTGTGGTGTTACTGCTTTCCAAACTACGATGGAATCTTGAGAGCGCATGATAAGTATACACCTTGTGTCTGAATAACGACTCATCGAAACGAATGTTTCCTTTATAAGGGATTTACGTGTATGAAGAGGGTCGTTTTCCGTCATAAATTCAGTTAGCCGTGGGCGTTTTCTGATCGGTGATGATTCAGTATCCACGAATGAGATTTTGTTTGTGCAAGCAAACCCTATTTCAGTAGCTTTCTTCAAATCAAACAAAAAAATGGGTTTAATTTACCTCCTCAGTCCACGACGCCAATAAAAACAATTTCCAATTCGGGGAATTCATACTAAAATACATTTGGGTAATTCGCATTTGTGTTTCCAAGCACAGACCTGAAGATACAGTGACTGGTTGGCAAAAATATTAATTTGAAAGAAAGTAAACATGTTTAACTACGTTAAATGGAATTCCTATCACTATTTTATGTGACCCTTTAGCAAACAGCATTCATAACTTTGATTTGTGGTTTAATCCGAGTAAAGGATGCATCGTGATTATTCACAATGAGATTTGGAAACTCTTTGCTTATTGTACATGGAAATCCATAATGAACGGTGATATCCATGTCGTTTT